CGTCCGTCCCGCCCCCGCGCCGGGCCCCGACACGCTCCGTGCGGCCCCGCCCTTGTCCCTGGCTCCTTCCCAGATTGCTTTAACTAGAACGCCCGTATTTTTGGAGTTTACCCTGACTCTGCTTGCAGCACATTTAGGGCAACAATGCACCGTTTTACCTGACAGCTCACCGTACCTACCGCTCGATACAGACAGAATGACAGATACTGCAGGCACATCCACATCGCCTAACTGGGCACCGTGCTCTGTCTTCTGCAGGCACATCTTTCTCTCCCTATAAAACGTACAGAAGGTCGTCTTCAGAAATTAACTGCTGGAATAGAGCAGCAGCCCAGGTGAGCATCTTCCGACTGCAGCATAAAGAACAAACAGTTAAATAACATAGACACAGAAACAGTATTTGTCCATCGGTATCAAAGATAATCAAATGACTGTAATTCTGAACAGAGGGAATATTTAAGGCTTCTCCTTATGTGCATTCACTAAATGTAAATCTAAAGCAACAGCAAATGAACCCACTTGTGTCGTACGCCATTTAAAATTGCTGAAGATGGAAGACTGTGGTAGGTATAAATATTTATTTTTCCAAGAGTTAGCTGAGTATGTTTTAAATGAAAGCAAATTCAGTTTTGTTTCAATAGCAAGCATTCAGATGTTGAGTAAGCAGCGTCAACTATGACCGTTCCATGAGGATTGGAGATGGAGGCTGGATAAAGTAAAATTTTCAGTAAGAATACCTAAATGTCGACAGGAAGAGAAGGAATTCGTCATAAGAAGATCAAGGAAGTTAATCTTTAATAAGTTTTCACAGTGCAAAATTTCTTTCATACTTGGATAAGAAAAAATTGACATGTATCTGTACCTATTTAAAGTTACCTGTATGCCTTTTGGACATGCAGTCACTGCCACTATTGAATGTTCTGGAATTTTCACACCACCCTGCAAATACTCTACTTGAACTCTGAGATCACTGTGATGTGCAAACCACAGTTATCTTAAAGCCTGTTTGATAAATTTGGACAAATGTGACAACTAAGTAGCTACACTGAAGAAACAGACCCACTTCTACGTATTCATCAGCTTTTCACGTTTTAAAGATCAGGTTTTAGTTTAGCGTTTTATTACGTGAGGCTGGCATGTTTGACATTTCAAGAAGACGCGTTACTAGATGCATTTTTTTCTTTATATATTTAATAAAGTTATATATCAACAACTTTTGGATTTGAAGTTTTGCTGGAGCACTTACCCTTTTGGCAAAAGTGAAATATGAAATACTAGCACTAGACATGCATTCCTTTCATCCAAGCTTAAGAAAACATTTACAAAGTTGACAGATAACATTTATTAAAACATGTCATACAAAAGAGGGGCATGGGACTCTTCTATAAGAAGAAAATATTGAACAGTAACATTAAATTAATTAAAACCATGCTGTACACTTAGGACAGCAATATTTATAGACAAAACTATCCAACCTCTGCAATACAGGCATAACATCTCACAAAATATCAAGATATGCAATTTTACTGTTATAAATGACTTGTTAGAATAAAAACTTATAGCTCATTAAGGAAGATTCACTTGACTTGCATAAACAGTTACATTTCTGGAAGAAATTATGAAACCCCATGGAGAACAAAAGAGGAGCAGCAATTGACAGACACAGGCTTCAAGCAAAATCAGAACTTACAATTTAATCACATTAAAAAGCATACCATTTTCTTTTCCAGCATCTTCCCGTAGGGCACTGACAGTTTACAGCTTATAGCTAAAGAACTCTAGCTATGCAATTAAACATTAACTGACAAAAATAGCAACTTTCCCTTTGCTGTTTTGAGAAAGCTTCTAATTCTGTTAAATCAAAGCAACAAACTCAATATACTGCTGTATGTTCTCATGATTCAGAGACAGGTCACCTTACTGGCACCAGCGTAAAAACGTTGAGATTACAAGATCTGAAGTGTCTCCATTCTTTCAGGATCAATAGTACGGGGATGTCAAGTATTGATTTTAAAATAAAGATACCCAATATATCAGCCTTTGCTCACCCCCCACCCCTTGCTCCTGGATACAGGATAAAATTTCTTAGCATCAGAAACACCTTGGACAAAAAGGGCTAAAACCAAACTTTTTTTTTTTTTTTTTTTTATTTTACTAACAGTACCTTCTAGAGTCTACCTGCTCATCTATAAAACAAAGACAGCTGCTGCATGCAACTGCTATGTTTAAAAAAGACCACTGGTGTATGAAATAGGAACCTCCTCCCTCAAAAGGGTCAGACATACTCCTAAACAGAGATCTTAACCCTACACTAAGACGGGTTAAAATTTTTCAGCATTGCAATTACTCAGATTCCACAGTAATGAACACCTTAATTACAGAATGGAATGAAAAGAAACTTAGCTGCAGTATCATTAAGTGTTCTTATCACTGATAGGCCAATGAGTAGCGTCACAGTAACAGGAAATTCTGAAAGCCTCCGGTGTGCACAATGATACTGGCTTTTGGAAAATGTTCACTTTGCTACAGCCAACAGCAGAGGCAGGGGATGTTAATCATAAAAATGCATACAAGTTTCTAAAAGCAGTATCATTACAGCTGATGAAACTTAAGGGGAGATGAATGAAATCCACCCATATACACATGGATTCATATCATATATCTGGATCACTTCCCTCCTCACCACAAACAAGAAGTAATTATTTATATCTTGAACAAGTCCATCCCATCAGTGATGCTTAAGAGCTTGACAGAAGCTGAATTTCTTGTTCTTAGTTTACTATGTACAGCTCTGTTGGGCATAAATAGCAGGGTCTCAGTAGCAAGGGGCTGCAAGGGTCACTTGTGTGGGAGGAGGTCATGAACTGCCCTATGCCAGCCAAAACAGGTTCCAGCCAGCTCTGAAACCAATGTAAACAACACATTGCATGCCAAAACTTCAACCAGAAGAGCATGTGGCACCTCTCCTTCAACATATTTAAGGGGCAGCAGCTGCTAGTGGGAGATGTAGGGAGACACATAAGGAAGAGATGCTCTTGGGGAAATATGCTTGGAAACAAGAGGAGAAATGGACGAGATGCTCTTGGGAAGACACGTGGAGGAAAGATTGTTGAGGATATGAATGGAGATGCCGTCTTGGAAGGAGGTACTCCATGCCAGAGGAGGTGCAGCTCTGGGGGAATGTGGCCCCTGCATAAGCCATGCACTTCTGAGGTGATTGCATCCCATAGGAGACCCATGCCAGAGCAGGTACACCCCTGAAGAAGACTGTGGCTCATGGAGAAACCACACGAGGCAGTGACGCTGAGAAGCCCAGAGCAGCAGAAAAGAGCAATACACATATGATGCCAACTTCCTGTGCCACCTGTCACCTCACCAAGGAATTGTGAGCAACTGAGTGCAGCCCCTGGTGAACACAAGGAAAATCAAGACCAGGAAAGGGGGAAATAAAGGTGTTTGACTTGAGCAGAGCCTTGGGGAAGGAGGAGAAAAGGTGTTTCCTCAAGTGTTTGGTTGTACTTTGTTTTCATTTTCTCAATACCTGAATCAGCGATTAGAAGTTTGTTAACTGGCAATAAATTAAATTCAGTAAAAAAATACCCCCAGCTGAGACTGTTTTGCCTCCGATAACAGGTCATGAAAAAGTAAGGATTTCAGAAAAATATCTCAAACTTCCCTTAAATCATCATACTCTCAATTAGATCAAGACAATCACATCAGTATTTTCCTGTAATCAAGTACTTTCATATGGATTAACATCAGAAAGCCAAGTGTTACCAATACCTGTAGTTACAAAAAAAAAAAAAAAAAAAAAATCAGTGGAGCAACACTGTTGGACTTTCAAGACAATGTCATAATACTGGGTAAAACAGTAATAAGCCGCTATGAAAAAATTACTATTCATGATAAATCACTAAAAAGGATATGGTTCTATAACATGATCTGCTGTACCTGTATAAAACCTTTAAAGTGTCTCTCTCAGTACATTTTATTTTAAAGCTTTATTTCACAGTAATCTAGCTGCAAATAGGGGTAATGTTTCACTTTCAAATGTCCCATATAAAAGTCATTCCAAGCTGGTAAAAGAAATGGTTTTGCTGGCAGCTCTGTAGGATGGTCTGGTTTTAATGGAAATAATTTTTTCTTGGCTGTGGTTCTCAGCCCGGGATTTCTGACCAGCTTTTTTTATGGTTAAACGGGAAGAGGCACCATTAACCTCTTTTATGTAACACTGGTGTCACAATTTGAAAGGGGTTGAGAACCAATGTAAAATACAAGATCATTCTTGAAACGAGTATGAGAATACCTTCCTCAAATGTAATGATGATACTTGCAGAAATGACACCCTGTATGTGGTAAGGCCTTGGAGAACGGAAAGATAGGGCCAGTGAGTGCAGAACCCTTTCCTCTACACTCATGTAAACAGGCAAGCATTATAAGTTTTAATATTAAAAAGACAGTGTTAGCAGTGTGGAAACAAACCATAAAGGGAATATCATTTCTAAGTTTAAAAAACATACGTATAAAGATTTCTTTTTTTTTAAATACAAAGTGCTTCTATACATTAAGCAGGTTACAGTGTTAGTGAGCAAATCCCTGTTTAGTTACCTTGATTACAAGGGTTATACATGGCCACCATGGTATATCGTAGAGTTCAATCAAGTGCTAAGAATAGGAACTCCTTGGTGCTACCATTCATACCCATTGCCAGCAATGGTTTCATCATATTTGGGAATATCTCTTTTAACAAAGATCCATATGAAAAATATCTGAAGCTTCAAAAGATTAAGAGTTAAGAGCCTCTAACAAAAAATTAAGATTTATAAGTAAAATGCCAGAAAAAAAGTTACAGTAATTACAGCTCACTGAGTAATAAACCCCAGCTTGCACCAGACATTCATGTTCACGATAACAGTTTGGCCGCATCTTACAACAATTTTAAATTGGGAGTTCAAAAAAGCATCTAAATGAGAATTATCTTTGTGTAGTTTTGCTTCAACATACAGGGTCATCTGTTTTTTTTTTTTTTTAAAGCATGTTATTCTGCAGATTGCAGTATCTAATATGTACATTGGGGCCAGACAGGCTTAGAAGGCCTTTGATGCTGGTTAACTTTTTTTTAGTCACACGTTATCAGCGCATTACTTGGACATCACCCCTTTAATTATAGCCAGTCTATGCTCTAAAAGCTCTTTCCTTTTTACACTAGATTTCAGTAAACAACAAAGAAGGGTTAAACTGCTTTTGCGTAGGAAAGCACTAAACTTTCAACCCCCAAATCCTGTTGCCTCCTTCACAATTGATGCCCTCACTCTACCTGCAGAGCTGGCAGTATCTCTCAAAACTACAAACGCTTCTCCATCTGTCTCCAGTAATGAAAGCCCAGCATACAGATCCTCAACCTAATAGAGCACAAGTGCCACTTTCCTGACAAAAATCCAGACTTGAGACGTGACCATGGTACCACATTCTGCAGTACCATTAACGGATCCAAATTTTATACTTTCTACCTTTTTTTCTCCCCCCAAACAAGCAGTTTCATTCCAAGAGGCAAACAACTCTGGCTGCTTGTGATCACATGTAACCAGTCACAGTAGTTCAGTACCAGGAATCTGTATTATAGCTCATAATGTTCAAACAGTAAAGAATTAAGTGTATAAATACCTATCAATGACTAAATCATTTCCCTAAAGAGATTTCTAAAACTAGACAGAAGTTCTCAAACAAGTCTTAGTACCAAAAAAAAGGTCAATTTGTAAATATACAGAGTTTGGTACTTGCTACTGTAGTAAGCCATAAAAACCGGAACACAAGGCTACAGTTAAAAGGTATGAGTGTTTTGAATAAGATTCAAATATTACATCTCCCTTTAAAATTTTTTTTGACAATACATACTTATTACACACACTTCTAAAAGCTCTCATGATATAGCAATTAAAATTGAGAGTCAAACCAAGAGCCATACAGCATTAGGCCCTAAAGGAGCAAAGACAAATTACATTTAAAATAGTTTTAAGTTTATATAGTGCTCAACTATATTTAAGTGCTTTACAGACTCTTTAAATAGAAATAAGCACAAAATTACACAACTAGATGTTTTACTAAAGATGGATAAAAAATGGAAGACAGATAAAGAAAAGCCAAATCAGCTTTAATACAGCCTTTCATTAAGCAATACAATAAAGGCTATTTAATAAAGCATGTTAAGCATGTTGGCAGTCTCCAGTTTGAGGTGGAATTATGTTTTTTTTTTTTCCTCTCCGTTAAAACATGAATCATGCAAATTTTATTAACAGGTAGCCCGCATAACCCGGTGTGGTCATCCTTGTTCTCTTTCCCACTAAGGCTACCTGAATAGCTGCTTTATGCAAATATTTGCAGAGTTTGGGTCAATTTAGAATTGGGTTTTACTGTGAATTTACAAGACTTAGAAAAACAATGGGGTTTCTGAATACTGCTGCAATGGCAATCAGCAATATCACAAAGACCTTACAGACCTCATTTGGCAAGTTAATCTTTCAGATTAACCATTTGCACTTCACACATTAACACACCTGCAGTAACACTGTGGAAAATAAAAAAAGTTTGGTCTGCTCATACCAGCATAATCATTAGAACGTGTTTTTTATGAGAATTTAAATTTCACAATAGCAAGTACCAGACACTATTTGCATAATTAGTTTATTTTGCTTACTCCACTAAACAAATGTAAGCTCTAATGTTTTAGTTCATCTCAGTAGTACTCTGCTCAGCTTTAGAAGCTTGATACGATTTGGTACAAGAGGTTACATGCCGGTGAAAACTGTCCCGCCACATAAATCTTTTTCCACAGATGTTACACTCGTATGGTTTTATGCCTGTATGAATTTTCATATGGCCAACAAGATGGTGTTTCATTTTGAATTTCTTACCGCAGACACCACAGCCGTAAGGTCGAAGACCAAGGTGCATACTCATATGCCGATCTCGCTGACTCTTGTGTGTAAAGCTTTTACCACACTGACAAGGATATAGCTTATCAGCATGTGAGAATCCAGTGAGGGATGTTTCTTCTTTAATTCCTGTAGCCATTTCAATACCTTCACCATAACCTGTTGCTATCATAAGATCCTGTCTGTGAGCACTTAAATTTCCATCTGCCCTTTCACCAGAAAACTCCTCCATAGAAGAGCCATAGAAGTCAACTTGCTCATCATAATTACTTTCATCTGCCTGTTCATCAAATTCTGCTTCCATCTTTTTGTCACCTATATGAAAGTCTTCAACACCTGAAGACTGGATTGAATGATCTGCCTGAATGGCATTCATGGATTCAGAAACTTGGTGTTCATCATAAGGATTATCAACACCTTCACAGTCCTGTTCAAATCTTTCTGGTTTCACATGGATCCACCGCTTGTGAGACATGATGCTGGGTTTGCTATATATAGGTCTTGTATATTGATACTCTGCACTATCACTAGTCCCTTCTTCACCATCCTGACTTGTCATTCCTGTGCTGAGTCTATCATGTTCTGTTGAAGAATTACTGGGAAGGTACTCGTGTTCTGTTAGTTGACATGACAGTTCATCTTTAGAGCTTTCTTCTTCATTTTCGCCATCCCTCAGCTCCTGCACTTTGTGGAATTCTGTCTGTCCTCCAGAGCCAAGTTCAAAGGTTTCAACAAGGCCGTTGTAACTACTACTACTCGGGGACTGATGATCACTGCCATGGTTCATCTTCTGACAGAGAACTGTTGGGTTCCCCTCTAGCACTTCAGTGCATTTATCTACTACATGCCACATCTGAAGAAAGCTTGCTGCTGTCAAATAACTTACTATTTCTGGAGCAGGCATAACCAACCGACCTGTATAGGTAGACAGAAGAATGTTTTCAAATACTCTTGGATTCATCACATCAGGCAGGACTATCCGCCTGCTATTTTTCAGGAGCACCTGATCACAGAAGTAAGGTGAACTAGCTGCAAGAACAGCTTTATGGGCTCTGAAGAGATGGCCCTGAACTACAATGGACACATCACATAATTGTCCTTGCTGGCGCTGCTGGTTTAACTTCTGCAAAATGGTGCTAGAAAAATCTGGAAATTCCACTCGAAAAGAGCTTGATCCAGACTCCATTTCATTACAAATCTAGTGTTGTGCTGCAAGAGGAAAAGAAGAGAGAGAAGGATCAGAAATTCTGCTTAGTAAAGTTTGGTCTTTCCAGTTGCTTATATTCAAATTTTTTTCTTTAAGGAATAACATCTAATGGACTCGTACAGAAGTCGACTCAAAACTTTTGGGAACCTGTGTCACTAGCCTATTTTTATCTTCCCCCCTCCATTTCATCTTTTCCCTTTTTGAAAGTTATATCAAGGCCACAAATTCCCATGCCAACACATCTTGCTGCACTTCATCTATCCACAAGCACTCATCATCTACAGCAGAAGTTAGGAACAGATTTACCTAGTTGACAGAATGATTATTCAAGCATGAGTTTAGGATAACAAAAACAATTATTTGATGAAACTTTAGCAGTAGAGTTAACTGCAGGATGTCCTAGAGTTTGTAAAGGTGTATGAAAGATTCTGCATTTCAACTGCCAAACAAATAATCTCATTAATCCCCCAATAAAGACTGACTGTACTCTTATGAAATGTTCCACCTTAAACAAAGTTTTCAAAAGTCATCATATTGATTCATTCAACAACAAAGGCGGCATAGAGTCCTAGTGAGAATGAGGCTTATGACTCTTCCAGGGGTATTTCCCTGTCATTTTATTAGATGAAAGTTGAAAGAGCAACATCCTGTGCAGTTGCAACACTACAATCCAATCCTTTCTTTCTGAGCTTTTTCAGATGTTATTACAAGATTCCTTAATTTAACATTTTAAATTATGTAAACAGGAAAGCGATACCTGAGCTGTACAGAATTTTTTGCATATGTACCTTGTATATGTGTGACAATGCAACAAAATTAGAGGCTAGAAGCTCAGCTAATAGCTCAGATTTTAATGTTTGTATTCCCACATGATCCAGATGTCTTACCACAAAGTTGATGTCATCTTAAGTAATAAAACTGTTCAAAATTTCTGCCTTAAATTTGAAGTTTAAGATAAATTTACATGTTTTTAAACATGAGAAATAATGACCAAGCATGAAAGACCAAGATTAACTCCCTGAATAAGTTAAATTTGTGCAATTTTTCAACTACATCATGTTTAAATTGAATACAATAGAACTCTGAAAGCCATGAAATAACAAGCAGCTTTCCCCTGTCAAATTCTGTTTCTCATCAGTAGGGAAGTGTCAAAATTTTAATAGATAGGGCTGTGCACCTTAGAGACAATATTTAGGAAGCTAGCAGACAGCACACACAGAATTTTAAGCACTTTTTGAATATGGTGCAAAAATAGACACTGAATTACAAACAGTTGCAGGACTCCAACTGAAGTAGTTCTATGGAGAAATGAAATGTAGAAAACATGATTATGAATCCTCGCTACAGATAACGTGCAAAATAACCACAGTACTTTCTACACAGTTACATAACTGTCAATAGAAAAATGTGCTGACTGGTGCACTGTGTTAAGATGCCAGAATTTGGCACAAATGCATGGCTGCTAAGAAGACGACAGCAATGTTTGCATACAAAATATAGATGGCTCAGGAGCGATTATGCACTTTGAAATTTACTGTTTTACCAGTTAGTTTAACTTTTCATTTTCAACACTCCTCAGTCTTTCCTCAAAGCATCAAGCTAGAAACGATTATGCACATCCTTGAACAAACTGCTTGAGATGCATTCCCAAAAGTATCTGAAAAATCTCAACATGAAGGTGCAAAATTGAAATCAGCATATTTTCCCCCTTTTAAATTAAAAGGGAAAAGAGTCTAGGGACAGTAAGCAATTCACCAGAAGTAAAGTATGACAAACTGTCATACCTCAGGTGCAAATGTGGAATTTGTACTGAATATTACTATACTTATAACTTCGCTATTTTTTAGCTAGTCTGAGAACAATTTGTCTGATGGGGAACATAAGCTGTTCTGCAATCTGAATAAGTCTTGATTTAGTAAATCTAACAGAATATTAGAAATAGCAGCTTTTAAATGACTTTCTTGGAAAGGAAGCTCTCTGAAGCATTTGCAGTTAAACTGATCTTCTCAAAATCATGACCTATGTAATAGCAATAAAGAGTATTTGCACTTTGAAATTTACTGTTTTACCAGTTAGTTTAATTTTTCATTTTCAACACTCCTCAGTCTTTCCTCAAAGCATCAGTCCTTCTATATACCTGTAATACCAACCCACTTCAAGAAACCAGATCAGCTGCTTATATTTATCACTGAGTAACAGAATACTGTCAGCACTAGTGTTACATATTTTTTCCACTTTGCTTAAAACAAGTGGACAAAATTATTGAAGTACATTTCTTCAACATAATAAATCGTTATCTAATACAATGAACATTACAAAATATTTTTTTAAAAGCAGCATTTATATGCAGATGTGTAAATTCTTTATCTCCTTTCAGAATATTCCCAGACATAAGCATCTATTCTACAATGCTTGCCTACAACAAAGATACCCTTTTATGATACATTCAATTGAAATTTAAATAGGCATGCCTGCACACCTAACAATTGCTAGCCTGAACTGCCATCCTTCAAAAAGGACACAGCTTAGTCCAAGAAGCAAATATAGCTTGGAAAACATATTTATTCACCATTGAAACAATTCCATTAGGGAGCAGAGCTGATATTATATATACCGAACTAACATGAAAAGCAAAGCCATCTAAACACACATAAGATATTTTTAACTATACATTTCAAGAATATTTGGGTTTTTCCTTCTGCAGAGGTTTTACTTCCTCCTTTTACAACCTGTTCTGTTTCTGCTTTTTCTCTACCCACGTCATAGAGAGCAAAGTTTTTCTATTTTAACCCACAACAAGTTTTTAGTCTCCAGGCTGGAACGCTCAGATGAAACACGCAAAGCAAACGTTACTGGCTTAAAAACAAAGTCACTTTCAAAAGCGCAGCACGCGGTTCCTCGAGGCCGTCGTACATAAAGCCTCCTGAAAGACGCGATTGTTTTACCCCAGCCG